TTTTCTATGTATACACCCAATCTGAAATTCTAACTCGCAACAAGGATACAGTCAAAACATCTCAATCTCTCATAAAGGCTTAATCTAGCAGGCAAGACACAGTGATGAAGGGCGCCGAAAAAATAAAACAACTTGGAAAAAAGCATTTTGGAACTAGACTCAACAGATGAACCTGGCACGTAAGGACTTCTCAGCTTTGGCACAGGTTCCTCTTCAGAGATCATACAACTGTTTTGGAAATGATACCAGCCCCCGTGCAGCTCCCACAGCCCAGTCCTCGTGTGCTACAGGACACCACGGCCGTGGCTTCCACGGGGAGGCCTGCTTTACTTCCCCACCTTGCTCCTCTCTCCTGTCCTGGTGTCTGGAGAGCAGACTCTGCAGTGCAAAATTAGGTCAGGCTCCCTACACAGATTCAATAACAGTATCAGCTTTTCTTCTGCTGTCACACCATCTCTCCACTCTTCAGATATACTAAAGCAGAAGAGCAACAAGAACAGGAGCTTCCCAGCTTAGAAGCCATTGGGGTTCATGGATTCGTACAGGGAACGTTATAAGTGGAAACAGACACTGTGCATTATTTAACCGTACCCGGGTAGCTGAGTAATGCCTTGTAGTCATTTTACGTAGCTAATCACTTTAGAGCACAAGAGTTACTTTCATTGCCCCATTCTATGGAATTGCAGTAGAAAGCATTAAACAGGCCAAGGCATATTTAATACAGAGTGATGCTTACCCAAGGAAAGCAAGCTGTCTTCCACAAAAGCATCTGGCAAGGGGAGGAGGGAAGAAAAGACTAAGCTGAGTGCATGTCAGCTACTGAATGATGCCTCCAGTTTAATCAAGTCTGAGGTTTCCCAAACCACCTTGTTCATTATTTCCAGCAGAAAACCTCAAGAGACAGTTAAAAGATCTGCATAAGCAGATATAGGCAGCCATGTACAAAGGGGAAAACTGACCTCCATATACTCGTCTCCTGTCTCAGTTGCCACATCCTTTTCTCAATTCTTGACAAACACAAGTGATACTCTAATAAACACACCGAACTGTTGCACAGATCATTTCCAGCTTTGCAACTCTGACCACAACACTTTTCTCTCCATTTCCTCTATTGCCTTTCCTTTTATCACGCCACACACCTGCAAGCTGCCCTCACTTTCAAGCCCACTATGCTTTGCTTGTCCTAAAAATCTCACCCAAAATTCACAGAGAGCATTTCTCCCCTTTGGATGATCATCATGGCTTGATCACCTTCCATTATTATTTTAAACATGCACTTTTTCAAGTGTCCCTTCGGCTTTGGAACAGGCTCCCCAAAAACATCCATAGAGCCATTTCATTTTTCCTGGGTCTCTTTTTCCTTTGTTCTGAAAAAAGTGCAAACTGTCGGTGGAAGGTAGTCTGAAAGGGGTCGCTACTGTGACTTCCCTGTACCTAGAGGCAGCCTCCTTTCTACTTCCACAGCTCTCTGGGACAGAGATTACATTTCTATTTCTTCTTAGAAAGGGCAAATGTACCAGGTCCCTGATCCACAGGAGCTGTGAGCCATTGGAGTAATAGAAAATATAGTAGCAACCTGGATGCGATGTGCTTGCATCTAAATTTCATAAAGCATGCCAGACAGGAATGTGAGCCTATATTTGTGTTTTGGCCATAACATCCTTGCAGCTCATGCTGTTGACCTCCCAGGTGTAGCACGGATAAGAGGGAGCTCCCTCACACACAGCCCACAACAGCAGCAGACAGGACCTTCCCCATCCAGCAGTCACCTGCAAATGCTTCTCATCCACTCCGTGCATGTTGGTTGGTTTACATTATTGGAGTTTCTAAATTAAACCTCTTACCAGCCAGCTAGAAGCCAACAAAAGCCACCAGTTAGTTTTCACGTTAATTACAGCATTCTCTAAGTTAGGAGAAATGGTAATTACTAGAAATGGTAATTACTAATTTAATCTAGGCAGCTCTGCTGGAGCAGGAAATCTGTGCAGCCTGCAACACACCTCCAAGGGAAGGCATTCTTCTCTCACTCTCTGCCTTTGTTTTTGTTCCCCATCCTTGCCAAATTATCTCCTTTATTTTCAGTAACATCCATCCTCGTTATTGCCATGGTGGGCAGCACAACTACGACAAGATGCCCTCCCTGTCCTCTGGCGGCAGCCGCCTTCTGAGACTTGAAAATTCCAGTGCACCAAGCCAGACACGTGTCACCTCTTCACAGTCCCACTGTCTGCAGCTGGTGTGTTTTCCAAACATACTTAACAGCCAAACATCCAACTCTTAATAGCTGCTACTATGCAAAAATTATGTTTCAAACCAGTGGGGACATGAATAAGATCCAGGTCTCCAGAGAAGGAACTTTTCAATGTTCCATCCCACACAGGACCAAAAAAGAATGAAGGGGTGGGAACGGTTGCTCTTTCACTCTTTCTTGTTCTCCAAAGTATGGAAAGCCTGCTAAAAAGTTCTATACAAATTACAAACAGGATAATTCTGCTGTCAAAGATACATATGTGACACTCACTAACATGAAGCAGAGCCGCACAGAAATAGCTGAGGCTACAGATGAGATCAGAGTATTTAAGTTTGTATATTAACTGAAATAAGTAATCCTCAAATCTATATGAAAGTCACAACAGGCCAGTAAGCATCCAATTAAGACAATCCAATTTAACATTCATGGAGACAAAGAATTCTTATTTCATAGGTTCATTCTATTCTTAAACCTAGGTATTATTCCTAGATATGCTTCCCAGATATTATTGTACTATAGAGTCTAAGATCAGATACAGTCAGCAAATCCTGGAAACACCCAGGATCTAAAATAGCAAACTGAAGCTGGAGTTTCACTAGAGGTACAATCTCTTGAATCTTTTGGCTTTTATGGCTTTTAAAAACAAATGCAGGTAAAAACAGCTGAAGGACTTTGATGACAGAGTACAGATCTCAAGAGCTGCACACATCAGCTTTTTCTATTAAATTTGTAGGTAAACTGAATTATTCAAGTATTCAGTTTGTAGATAAATACAGAGCGACTGGAATGCATCTTCATTTTTTACATTCTTTGAATTAAGCTTCATTTACATGCAAGAAAGTCCAGAGTAAAATTCCACTGTTCTGTGTTCAGATGAAGATGTCACTTGGTTTTCATGCAGGGAGCCAAACACGACTCTAAAATAAATTTAAAGTAGTTCCTTTGTGTTTCAGCTAAGAGTATTTGCAGGGCTCAGAAAGCAGCATCACTTCTTGACTCTGGCAACCAAGTTCAGATTTCTGTAGTAGCGAGGACAATTCAAAAATTAAGACAGTCTTTCCTAAAACTGCCACTGCATAAATCTCTGCTATACACTTAACCAGAGTTACCTGGACTGAAGTAATTCCTCTCTAAAGGGCAATGGACAGTGCGAAACATCATTTGAGCTATTTTACTCATAAGATACTTGAGATGTTATGCATGGTGTGAGGGCTTCTGGGAGCACACTCCCTGCACCGCAGTAAGCTCTGCTACTCTCCCAATTTTTTCTTGGTGAATTATGGTAAAACTGGAGCACACTGGGGAAACACAGCAAAGACACTGGAGGACTATACAGGATGCTGCTCACTGAAGCCAGGCTGCATCCAGAACTGAGGAACAGTCACATTTTGAGCTGAGCTGTCCTAACCCAAATACTATTTCATGAGGTGGCAAGCTCAGGTTAACAGCATTACTGTATGGGATTTAGCGGGATTTTTGCACAGGACTCAAATTGTGGCTCAAGTGAAATAGTCTTAAGATATGGGTACCGTAACTCCTCCAAGAATATACTCGCTCTCAATTTCAGTATTAGAATTTGCTTTATTTATTTGCTTTCACAAAATGACGAGGGAACTTTAAATTTTTCCAGGACAGACCTGAGAGAAGAAAAATAAATATATTTCAAAGGGTGCCATTACTGCAGAATCAGTATCGGGACTAAGAGCACTAAAATAATTGTTTAAAATGAAGCCAGCTTCTGCCTCAAGAACTCACAGGCAGAGAACATGGATTAAATATATCACTTTCATTGTACAGCACTATTGTATGACATCCAATCAAAGTAAACAGCACATGCATTTATTTTCAATTGCTGCCTTTCAAACTGATAAAACTATGAAAAGAATAAAAAACAAATCTTCATATAAAAAAAAGATTGTAACATCCTCGGGAACTACCAGTGAAGCAGGCTGCTAAAATTCCTGCCATTTGCACTGAGGCATTTGTTAGCACAGCTATGCCTGACTTGGTAAATACCATGTACCTGCAGCAAAGGAAGCAAAGAACAAACCGTAACAAAGATTTTGTAATATCTTCTGTAATAAATACCTTGATCTTTATCATGTGAGGGCTTGACTGGAAAAGACTTTTGGAAATGACTTATTTATAAAGAATGAAACTCCCTTGCTGTCTTGACATTAGTAATATCTTTATATACGCACACACGAACATCTATATATGTACACACACATGCAAACATACAGATTTTATACTGATGATAATTGTCAGGAATAAAAGAAGAATAGAATAAAAAAGAATAAAAGGGGGCAAAAGACCTAACCTATGCAGAAGCTCTATATTCTATGCCATGATGCAGAACAGCCTTATCATGATTAATTTCCTGGCTGACAGCTCATAAGAGGATGAAAGCAGTGTTGAAGAGGTAATCTCTTGTGTCCCAGCAATTAGCATGCACAAATATTAACATGGTTGGTTACAGGATGATGATTACTTTGTTCATGACTCCCTGGAGGGCCACCCACAGAAGGGAAGTAAGGCAACTTACAGTGATGGAAGGAGAAAACAAGGCAGAGTTTGATGACTGGCACTGATGTGATGTTGGCTACCTACTCATAACCAGGAGGACTGGACTGTGAGCGAGGATTTTGCTCCAGTTCAATTTCAAGAGTCACTAGACACTTCTCTTTAGGCTTCAGACACACAGGACAGCATGTCTGCTATACTGCTGCTCATAATAGCCTTCACTTACCTTCCAAAAACTGTATGCTTCCTGTCCAGATATGCACAAGAGCGGAATGTGATGAAGCTGGAAGGAACACAGACGTAACAGTTAGCATATTATCTCATTGACACCCAACAACAGCCAGTAATGCTTAAAAACAGAAAGGGTATGCAAAAGATCTCTCTCCCTGGTTTCTCTCTGGGAGGCCCGCTGGCCAAACATCCTTTAACTCCTCTGTTTTGTGGGCTTCATCTTGAATCTCTGGAGGTTTGACTTCTCATTTTTATACCATACTAATATCCCTAAACAGTATTCCAAGCATGGTGACTTGCACAAAGTCCAAAATTATCTGCCTCTTGGCCAGGCAGGTCCTGGGAAGTTCATGCAGGACAGGGAGACGTGTGTCCTGCTTGAGAAGTACATTTCTTGTGCACGACTGCAAGCTAATACAGTCACATAATGCAACAGTCTCCGTAAATGTAAACTTCTATCTCTTAGGATATTTGCTTTTTGCATTTTTCTTCCATTAAATTGGCCTGCTGGTGATCCATTTCTCTTCTGGAGAGAGCAAATTTGTGCTTCAGATACAAACATGGCAGAAGAACACTTCAAAGTGTCAAAAGTAACGAAAACCTGTGAAACTTGGATTTTTAATTTTTAATTAATTGGGCTTTTAATTTTGGAGGTTGTATTTTTAAACGTAAACATGGGAACTAAAATACTAAATCCAAAGTAACCTTTACTACTAAAACTTTTCTCTGAAGCTTAATGTTTCTTTGGAAGACTTGGACTACAAGCGTATGAGACAGAGGTTTCCACGCTGTGGTCTGCAGATCACGATGGCCCATCTTGGCTGGACATGCAGTACTGGCTCTCCTCCCTGTCTCCATCTGTTACACTACATTAGAGACAGCTAAAAATATATAAGCATTCCAAAAGCACTTTTCCATATAAGCAACTGCCTGAGGAAGTTATATGATTGCAGATAGGAGGGGCTGCAATCTACCAGACAATCTATTAAGCCGTAGCTTGCCCTTGGAAAGCTTTGAGATGCTGTGCAGAATGCAAACTCCTACACAGAGCAAACATTACAACTTAGCCTTGTGCATAGGTTCTTTGCACCACTTTATTCCCAGATATCCAATACTTAAGATTACCAAGTGGTCAATTATGTAGCATTGCAATAAAAAAAATTAAAAATCTGAGCAGTAGCAAATATACAGAGAAAGCTTCTCAGCCATCACTGCAGTCAAAATAAAACTAAGGACAATGGAATTAACATAACTCAGGATGACTCCCGGAGAAGTCTTAAGTGTTATTTGAGCATCACCTTACACAGGGAACCCAGCTCACTCCGCGCTGCAGTGCCTATCACCTATGGGGAGAGCTATTCAGCCAGTTCCTAAGGTCACAACACTTGCCAGAAGCATCCAAACGCTGCCTAGGAAGCTTTATAAATACGGGCTGATGGAGTCTCTCAAGGACTTCACATATAAAAGTATTTCATATTTCATTTGCAAATTTTAGGGAAATATACAATCACATTTACAGCAACAGATGATGTGGCGCAATATGGCACATCACGCATGAACTGTCTCTAACTTCTGTTTCTAGAACCCACTTTAAAAAAAAAAAAAGCGCCTCTACTCTCCCCTAATTTAGCACCTGAGTGCTGGCAATAACATTCAAATCCAAAATAAGCTCTACAGCAACTCAATCCTGCAAACTGCCCAACACGTGCTTAGCCTAAAGCACGTGAGTAAGCCTATTAAAGGTCCCAAGACAAGCACTTGCGTATAATTACAGAGCTAACCACACTGCTGCATAGTTTACAAGCCATACTACTACTTCGCATCATGAAGACCAACACCAAGAGGCCCCTCTCTCCCTCCCCCTTCCCAACAGGCAGTACTGTACACACACACACTCTCTTTTCTGGGGCTCCCAATAAAGGTACAACATTTTTCTGTTGCAGTACTTAAGAGAGCAACCAATAAATAGTTGGCTCAAAGTGACACAGAACATTTTCAAAAGACTGCAGGCAAACACCCGTGTTAATGTTACACGTAAAGGTTATTACAACTTCAATATCTTTAAATTTCTTTTGTTGTTCTTCCTAGCTCTTCATTCATTTTGTCCTCATTTTAGTCTTCATTCTGCTTTTGTACATTGAAAAACAAGTCATTCTCAAACTGAGATTCTGCACTCTGCCACATCTGGGTTCCACATATTCCAACAGCCCGTAACCATTCTCACTTACTTAAAATCAGGTGAGTAAAAAGAAGCAACATTTCCATACAGTATATGCTTCATTTCATTAAGCCCTTTCAGTAAGTTTAATATGGGACTAAATTTAAACAGAGTTGAGAGGTATAACGATCTTACAGGCATAACAGTGGGGGACACTGACAAAAATTAACAAAAACTTCAAATCATAAAACCAGAAAAGACAAATTAATGATGATATAATAAACCTACAGGTCATCTTGCCATGCTTCACTTTGCTCTTAGATTGGGTAACAGCAGCTGTAGCTACCCTGATTTCAATATGCAGCACTCGACAGAGTATTTCACTTGACTGAACATTAAAGAGTAGCTCATAAAATGTCATTTGTTTTCTTAACAGAGTAAGACACAATGTCTAGAGGGAAACAATAAAAGACAAAAAGCAAGTGACTACTTACAACTGTGATTTGTTTGTGTTAGGTCCTGAATTGGCCATACTAAGAACACCACGTCCTGTGTGGGACAAATTAGGCTTAAATTCATCTTTGAAAGGTTTTCCCCAGTAAGATTCTCCTCCTTGAAAAAGAAAGGATGATAGAAGACAAGTTTGTTTTCATTAGTTTCCCACTACATTTTATAACAGGCACTGGCATTAAATCCAAGGTTTCTGGCACTTCTGATCACTACGTGTATAATATATTCTTACCTTATCCCTATCACTAGCTAGTATTTGAGCATGTCCTCAAAATCAGATGTTTGTAATTGGCAACACAATTCTGTGCCCCCACACTATCAACTGCAACAGACCAGACTGTTTATCAACAGCATTATATATTGTGTGCTGAAGAACTGTCAAGGATTTAATTTTTTTACTGCTGGCCCACCATAATTTTTCTTTTTTGAGACATTAAATCTTTAAAAGTGGGTTCCTGACAAAACACAGAGAAAAGAATTACTAATTTAATTGCACTCTGAATATAACATTGCTTCTGGAAAGAAAATATCAGGGAGATGAAATACGTTCATAGAATCAACTAAGAACTATAGGCACAAATGCTTAATTCCTGGCTAAACAATGAAGAATGACGATACATTTTCCTCCAAAATAAAAGGCAATAATTAGATATTTGGCCTAGATACATGAATGATGTGAACACTTAAATACAATGAAGTCAAAAGGATGATAAAACTTTGCACAAACCACAGACCCAGCCCTCCAAAACTGATGTGTTTTCTGTGCCTGTGGATAGAAAGAGGGTCGGGAAGACCTCTTCTCCTGGCTGTCATTTTTACATTATTTATGACAGATCTGACATTTTCATTTGCACTTTCCTCCAGGATCATTCTTAATAAGAAAAACGAAGGCTGAGATGAGTCATAGTTTTACAGTCAAATCCATAATCTTGTTTGACAAACCATGAAAAAATATTTCACCTTAGGATAGTATTAAAAATAAAACAAACAAAACTATCCAAACAGGCAGCAAGACTGGTCCATCTGCAGAACTGGCTTAAGAATTCTCCGGAGTAACTGTATCACTAGCGAAGCAGGAGGTCAGTAAAGGATCTGTAGTGCTCAATGGCTATTTGCAGATGTTAATACCGAAAAGCAATTTGATGATACGGCTGCACAGGAAAGTAGCAAATAAAACTGAGGAATAAACCAGGCTCCTACTAAAAACCTTACGCAGAAAATCACAAGGGTGCATGGAATGAGAAAAGAGTTTGAAATGAAAACAAAGCATCACAGGTGGACAGCTGCAAGTGCAAGTGGAACTAAGTAAGCAAGAAATTTTGGAAGAAACTGACCCACTTAAAACCCCAATTAATCGTGTTCAAAAGACCTATTAATAGAGTTGAGTGTTGCCTGCTCTGCAATTTGACAAGAGGCAGCAAAAGGGGACAAACCCTGTAGGGATTTTCTGTAATCAGGAGTAGAGGAGGAGTGATTACTTCAGCAATCTTTGGCTATTGAATATTTTAAGATCAGCTAAATTACATCAGCTTGATCCCATATGCCAATTTCTTCCAGTAGTGGGTGAAGGGGATATGGTACAGCTGCAGCCAGCTTGACTGTGTTGAAGATGGATTCAAACCCCAGCTATTCTAGCCAAATCCAAAGCGTTCAACCTATTAGAAATTGTCTTACCAGAAGCCAGTAATTTTCTTTGCTAATGAATCTTCCTGCGTGTTCCTGTTTGCTAAGAGAGGTTACTTCTGCAGTGACTTAGTCACCTGCCTTGTTCAGAAAAACAAAGTTCTTGTAGGTTAGTAAATAAACAAGCTACACATGGAACATAGTGAGGCTCCACACCAACAGGTGCTGCCTGAAACCAGAAACACACCTGCAAAGCCTGCAGACCCACTGCCCGTCAACAGCACTGTGCTCTGTGCACAACTTCTTTTTCCCTCTTTGCCTTTCACAGTTTTCAGCTTTCCACTTGGATCCGGCCTGGCAGGGCAGCATCAGGGACGGGCTCCCTGCCCGCACCATGACACTGCTGTGGTGCCAATGCTTCAGGCCCTGCACTTCTGTTCTCTGCCACGGCCGAAGTAATAAACTTCACTTGGACTTCCCTTAGAGAAATACGTATTTTTGCTTCAGAGAACCTCTTGAAGGAAGTCCTAATTATTTGTAAAGCAGATGCACTTGCTAAGAGTCCTAGCCTAGAGGAGTGTTTGCTGTCTAGAAATTTTCAGATGATATGCAAACATGAACACATCCCATTGGGATGGTACATAGCAGCAAGTGGCCAAACCCTTGAGTCCATTACACCCTTCTTATGCTTTCAGCTGATGTTGGAATTACAGCTTTGCCAAGATGTTGAAAGAGGGTGGAATCAACCCTGAAGCCTTTGCTGGTCAGAAAAATAATTCAAAAGGAAAGAGAAAAACTGTGAATGACAGAGTCTCTTTCTGGCACAAGCAGCAACCAGACGCAAGAGCTTGCAGACAGGAGCAATGAGCCATGATCTATAGGTTTTGCAATATTTATTTTTGTATGATTTCATTTCAGATCATACACTGCAGGTCAGAATTAATCTCATATGTACGAAGGCTAACTTTGGTTGATTCCAGTTCTCTGGAAATAAGTGCTAATATTTTAGCAGATAGTTACAGCATGAGATCCAGTCCCTGCCTCCCTGTTTGCCATACAGCTGTTTCCAAGGCTAATTCTGTCTGTCTGGGAGCTACAGGCAGGAACAGAGAATGGCCTGTGCAGCATTCGCCTAAAAGGCCAGACGTCCTATAAAGGACATAGCTGAAGTGTCTGCAGAGGCCTGGCAGCGCGGACTGGCAAAGGGCGGTGGAGACGCTGCAAAGGCAGCGAGACAGCAGTACAGGAACAGTTTGGAATTTTTTGTTGCTTTTAAAGAAAAACCACAATTTTTAATTTAAGAATACTTTAAAAAAAATAAAAAGAGAAAAAACCCAAATATATTCTCCTTAAATCAAAAATAGCCTGAATGTGCTGTTTGTCAAACTTCTGCTAACCTCTGGAATTGTTCCAGGCTTCAAGTATCTGCTTGAAGCAGGACCAGGCAGAGCAAGCCAGAAGATGGCAAGTTAAATGTATGCATTTTTTTAATTACTGAAAACCAGAATCACCTTCTCTCTGAAGATTAGGTACAGATCCCTCGTTAAGTCTGCTGCCATGACAGCACAATGCTCAGTCAGAGGGTTCTGGAAAAGGATTTTAGATCCTTACATTTTGCTCTCCATGGTAGAGCTCAATGTAAACTTGGAAAAATAACTCACGGGCTCCAAACCTACTACTAATAATTAGCAGACAATTGGAAGTACCTAGCAGATTTTACTGTGTTTAGTCTCGACATGGTTGGGAGGTGTGGCTGTGCCATCTTCCTCATTTTCTGAAAGCAGAATGGATGCAGACAGAGGAGGTGGGACTGTCACACTGTCTAGCTCTGGTCTGCTCATCTTACACTCCCAGTATATGCCATAAAGAGAGGAAGCTCCTCCTTATATTCCCCAAATCCTCCTCTGAGAGCACACAGATCACCGCTGACTATATATGGAGTCACAATGATGCAAAAACCTCACCTCGAAGCTGAGTACCAGCCTACAAGCAAAGCCCATGGAAAACAAGAATTGACTCTGGGGGCAGCGCTGCCTGTCACTTCACCTTCCTCTCAGCTTACTCCCTGATAAGATTATCTTCTGTCACAGTGGAGCTGCATGCCTACTGGACTTGCAAATGTTTCTGAGATCCTATTACAAAAAGTGCTGAGAAAGAAATTCTGTGCTAAAAATCAGAGGGGTTCCCATGGCAGCAGATGGGTGCTGCCACTGGCTGGATTGGTGCTGGGAGCGCGAAAGGGAGCAATACCCCCTGCACATGGGGGGTCTCCTCTTTGCACAAAGCTGGAAATGCACTTGGAAATATACTGGCCTTCTAACAGCATTTAACCCTTCAGGAGCCAGAAAGAGTTTTTTCACAAGTCTGTAAAACAAAAATCACATGCCTACCCGGATACCTGAGGTTCAAAGTGGAAGGCAGCTGGGAGCCATTTCCCGACATTTTTAATAAAACAGAAAAATTCTCTTTAATTTAAGAGGTGTTTACCTAATTCTCACACAGAGATGAAACCAAACAGACCACACAGCACACAGAAAAAAATGAGACTGTATTCATCATTTCTATGGCTATCCAGAGTGGCAAGATCTATTTAGCTTGTGACTGAAGCACGGTTAGTTATTTGGTCCCGTATCTGCATCTTGTGCTGATAGTGAAAAGGTGAATAGATCTAAACTGACATCTGAAGCCATCACACATAAGCAACTATACAGAAAAAAGCCACGTCTTCAGATTCTTTTGACCAAACCAGCTTACTCTTTGGTAGTCTTTGTTCCTTCTAAAGGCATTTTTTTTCCAGAAAGTAATTTTTTGGGGTACAATTATAGAAGTTGTACAACTTATTTGCAAAGAGCTGAGAGATGCACCTAAAGCTCCAGAAATATAGCATTCCAAAAGCCAGGTGTGGGCTGGAAATCATCATTTATGACAGTTGTGATTTTAAATAAATCCTTCCTTTTTCTGGCATAAAAATTGCTAAGCAGTGGTAAGGAAGTGGGAGGGCTCTGATTCACAAAAATGATGGCTTACTTTCTGTAATTTTCTTCTTGTCATTTGGAACAACGAGGTACATAATAACATCTGACACTTCTATAGAGCTTTCCAAGTGCGATTCTTGAATCATTTTGCAAATATGAAAGCCTTAGCTCAGCCAATAAGTGCTTCTCTCCTTTCAGATAAGAGGACACGGTACTTCTAACCCCACATACCAGAGGTTGGATTTTCAGAGGGGCTGCAATCTAAAAGAGGTGTATTGCTAGATAAAAAGGTCTTGCTCTTGTCCTTTTGCTCAACTTCAATCATGCAAGAAAAGGGGCTCTAAAAACTGGTTACATTTTAGGAGCTTGCCTTGTTTTCCTTGTTAGGAAATCACATTCCAGAACTGACAACCAACCAAGTTTGTCCACACTCTTTTTGCTATTGACAGTTCAGGAGGCGAAAAAGAAAAAAAATGCTCCGCTCTGCTGGTTGTCATCCAAAATGTAATTCCCATCTACCAGTGGTATTTTATCTTGGACATTTACAGGTATTATATGCCACCTTGGTGCCCTCCTGCATTCATAAATGCACAGAGGTATACACAAATCGATTCATGAGACCTTCTAACAGGTTGCAAGTAAGAGCAGCTGAAAAATGCCTGTGCCGCTTCGAAAATGTAATGCTTTGCATATATTTTTGTCTTTTTCATTCAAAGGGTTTAGGATATTAAACCTATTTTTCTTACATGCAAATTTTCTTCTATTATTTGGAATGCTGAAAATACAGAGCAGCTGCTCCACTTGCACTAGCATGAGTTAGGCAGAATTACTCACAATGTTCAACCACTTAGTTGTTATGAACAGCAGGAAAAGAGATACATCACAAATCCAAAATTCATTTTCAAATAATTAATCATTACAAAGAATGACCATGACTCAGGTTATTGCTCTGAATACTGCCTCTATGGGTGGTTATTTTGTTAGAAAAGAAATAAGCTGCTGCAGCACAATAAAATTTCTCCCAGTAGTCTTATGAAACATTAAGTTGAAGGCTGTAGAAAATTAGTTTGGTCCTCTAAATCAGCGTCAGCCTTACAGGACTGTATATCCAACTGCTTTGGCAATGCAGGTCTGCCAGCTAAGCTAAGGTAAAACTCTATTCCCCACTCTTTTCCCAGTGTGGCATCTCAACTTCTAGATGCCATAATGCTAATTTCCACCCTCCTCCATCCCAAGGATAACTGCTGAGTACCAGGAATCAGTTGTCTTTCACACATATGCTGGGTCACAGTTACTTTTATGACAGCCTAGCAAGAGACTCAAAATGGACACATCGGGGTGCTGATGAACAAATAAAAAAGAAGTAAGGATCAGTGCTGCTTACAGATAGGACTGTTCAGCCAGAGTAGCCGTGGAAGTGGACAGAGACAACCAGCTTGGCATTTTACATCTGTGAAATGCTTCCAAAACACAAGCATGCTTATCTAGGTGAGCCGAGAGCACAGTTGCAGTCTCTGTACATACGACATGTAACCTTACGTCATGTTGTACTCAATGTGCCCAAATCCACCAAGAAGCCAAACAGTCCTGGGCTTAGTTAGCAATGGCGTGGGTGATCATCTAAGCATTTGGGTGTTGCAACCATAAACCTGACACCTGTTGCTGAACATGGGATGAAAGTCAAATGACAGAAACCAAATGGTGGGAGGATTTTTGAACAAGTCTGTTCTAGTTCCCAAGCTGCTGAACAGGAATAATTAAATAAATATAACAAAACAAAAATATATACAGGCTTAATGCACCTTTCATGTATCAGTTTGGAAAAGGTGTTGTGTTTTTTTTAAACAAACAAAAAATGAAAAAGCACCCCAAATCTCTTAGCCAGAAAATTTCAGTTAAAGCAGAAGGTTCTATGTGGAAAAGGAAAGAAAGAATGTTCTTTTTTTCCCCAAAGTCTCCCTACAAAAGGCTCTAACAGAAACAATTCTGGCAGTTTAAAATATTGACGTTTAGAACGTAACCTCTAAATAGTCCTCCCTATTGCCAATTGAATTATCTGGGAAGAAAGCCCTGTTCTATTCTCATATGCTTCCCTGATATTACAGAAGTCAAGTTGTTTACTTTCCCAGTAAACCTCTAAAGACCATTAAATCTTATGGAGTTCTTAGCTTGCAGAGATGTATCTTTTGATTTTTTTTCTAAGCACCAGCGAGTCAAAGGAATACTGAAATTCCTTCCAGCTGCCAGAAGAAATTAAAAAAAGGGAATTTATACAACAAATAACATACAAGACCCAGGTAACAAAGGTACAAAGTACTGAATCTCAGTGCTTTACTCCAAAGCTTTTCTAACACGAATGCTTGTGATCACATTAGTAACATGCAAACCAATGGACCAAACTTTTTACACCATGGGAGCCTAGGAGAGCATCACTATGTTTGCCACGGTCTTACACTTCTGCCAAACTGTACCTTCCTCTGGCTGTGCTGCTGTGGAGAGAACATAAAGCCAGACAGGCACCTGCGGTCTTTGCCACCTTCTTACAGCATGTGGCTCGAAATACACAAATGAAATTTCTGCCTCACATTCAAATGCCCAGAATCTATCAGGTAATCAGGAACAAATCCTGACAAACTACTTGCACTCTGTGAACTAAGTGGCTTCATTTAAGTAAGTATTAAACACACAAGCATGACAGTTCAAGAGAAATGTAGTAGCCCACCAGGCTGTCCATTTACAACATTTTCTTGTGATTTTATCATATTCAATAAGTGATTAAGTAAGGATATCTAAAATTGAGTTGTCTTCAAAAAATAAAAATAATTCAGTTGCAAAGACGATAGTTGCATCATTTGGAGTCTACAATAATTGCAAACTGTCTAAAAATCTGCACCACTCATATCTATTTGAGTGTATGCTGTTCATTTTGTTCAACTTTGATAGTCTTGACAGACATTTGCAAGACATCTTGCCTGCAATATATTCGTATTTCATTTTGAACAACAGAGAGGAAAACAAAATGGGAAAGACTAGAGGTCATCAAACTCCTTTTTTTTTAAATAAAAGAGTATACATAGGAGGTTTTCTCTCCTATGGTCTCATTTGCATTTTATTTCCTACTTGCTTTGCCAATAGAGCTGAGTCTTGACCTTCAATGCAGCTGCACTGCCAGTCCTCTGCCAACTGTTAAGTGTGGTGTCTTACAATACTTCTACAATTTGCACAAATAGAGACAAGAATGACACCAGCAAGTTAATTTTCATTCCACAGCAGGATCTGAACTCCACCCTATAGAGGTGAAAGGTGTCTGAATCAACCCATTAAATTTCTCCCGTCTCCTGACACCTCTTTAATGTCTCATCTTAAAAGATGTTCTTAATTATGTCTTTTGGGATTTGAACTGAAATTTTCCTTGTAACAAAATCAAATCACATTTCTTTTGACAGTCCAAGCATATACGGTAACAGATCTTGTTAACAGGCTTTTGCAATCAAAACACACAACTTTTAACTAGTTTCAAATCTTAGAGTATACAACTGTTGATTATCGCATGCAGTAGAAGAAAAGCTGTTGGGCAACTCACAGTTACATTATTTACAAAGTAAATAGAGTTAAAGTATTTAACAACTACAAGGGCATCTTTTTTTGGATGACCTGTGAGCACACACAGAAAAACATTGTGCTTGCTATATACAAGTGACACATGTATGAACTAGAATAAAAATGCACAGAAGCCCACAGGACCAGGCGAGGAGCTGTGGAGGCTGGTGACACCTACAAGTGGGTAAATAAAAGGTGCAAGGGGAAAATGAGCAAATTTACAGCAGCAACTAGAGATATTACATGTCTTATCTACTGTGGTGGGCAATGCCTTGAGGACCCTTCAGCTGCTATGTCTCCTGACCATTTCTGATACAACTGTAATGCAGATCTCCAACTAAGGAGAGAAAGAACAGGCAGAAGAATTTAATAAGTCATTCCTACAAGTTAGAAAAAGAGCAGCTTGGGCTTTAGAAAGCAACTAGCTGGGAGAACAGATGGTATCTGGCCATTCACCAATTCTGAGGCAGGTCTCAAGTATTTCATTAACGCTGAATTTGAAAGCAACTTTGCATGAATGTGTTTCTTCCTTTGTTCTTTGCCCTGGAAGGCCAGCTGTAAAATCATTGTAATTTTTATTTATTTATTTTCTGGAAGAAAAAGGAAGCAAAGACCCCAAAAGAATTCTACGTGGAAGAGTGCCCAAGTTTTAGACTGAGAATATATCAGATGAAATTTTAAGCATAGTTAAAATGGTCATAAAATATAGAGGTAAACCCTCTGCTTTAAAGTAGAAATACAAAGTGCCACATATCATTTAGAGAAGTTTAATCTACAAGGTGTCTGGAAATAAATGTAACAACACAGCATATGAAGTGAAAACAGTTTACTTGATTCAAACTCAATCCTACCTGTTCCTGTTCCAGTCGGATCACCTCCTTGGATCTGCAGAATTTGAATAAAATCAATAGGTTACATATATATATCTGTGTGAAAGACATTAAATACAAGCCATAAAAGCCAACTGTGCTCAATTTTCTTCCTTCTGTATTGTGTCACGTTGACAAGTTAGCAACAAGGAAACCATTACTACTTATTTGGAGCTTCTTTTATCAGCTGGCTGTCATCTCCTACATTACTTATCCAAGAGCAAAATGACATTTTTATAAAAATAATAGGTCTCTTGTGGGTAAATAGGGAAAAATAAACAGTCTCAAATGGGTTAACCAGATCATCCTTTCTATTATGTGCTGGGTCATAACCTGCTTTTTAACTGATGATGCATTGCTTTTAGAACTGAAAAGGCTTTACATTTTGCTACCAATCCTCTACACAATAGGAAGGCAAGAAATAAGGGAATATGGAATATTTTCTGTATCTGAATCTGTATTTCCCAGCATCCCCCTCACTATCTGCAGTAGGAAAAATCCCTATGTGGAACCAATCTTTCAGCAACAAAATAAATCACTGAATATATATGCAGGATCTACAGAAATAATATTCTATATTCTAATGCCAGTAGAAGGGAGCGTGCCATGACTAGCTTCACAGTAATAACAGACAAGCACAATTTTAATTGTGAGTTTAACTATGAACTGATATACACAGTGCTGTCAAAAGAAAAAAAGCTTTTTTGGGATGACAGGATGGAATGTAAGTGATGAAAGATGCATACTGCCTTCAGGATCTGGTTGTTAATTCTTCTGAAAGAAAATTAAGAGGACAGCTACAATATCCTAAGCTGCCTGGACTGTACCTATGTAAATCTTTGACTACCAGCATCGACTTTCTGGTTCACTAGGTGCTCTTTAACTCCTTCACAAAGAAAGCCTGGGCACCTAGTAATGGAGCACACACAGGAAAGGATGATCTGATAGTATCCAAGTACCACAACCTGAAACAGAAATTCAGCTGCTTTCTAAAGTTTCATCTGAATGGGATTTCAACAGGCCACAGTATTACTTATCCAAATTAGCATTCCCCCCCTCCTCTCTCTCTCCTTCTGTTCATTAACCACCCACCCACAGCTTAGGGAAGATAACAAGAGCCTTGCCAAGGCAATGACTCTCAAATGGCTTTGTCTAGAACACCAGCAAAAGCACTACTAAATGCAGTGAAGCTCCAAGTGACAATATTAGTCAGAGTCAGTTGTTAGTAAGACTAGTAAGTACAAATTTAGTAAGTTAGGACAATCCTAGTTCTGACGGTATATTTAATATACCTCTATTGCAAGTTGTCATGCATGGAAGAAACTAAAACTGAATTAAGCTAAATAAATATTTTGATGACATCACATACTATGCGTTACACAGAATTTGTTCAATACTCACCACAAAATTACGAATTGATCTGTGAAAAATTGTTCCATCATAATAGTTCTTCTTGCACAATTTGATAAAATTTTCACATGTTCGGGGTGTCTGAAAGACAAACAGAAGTTTTGATTAAGCAATACCTTTAGATGATCAAATTGGTCACTACACTGTTTACAAGAATCACTCTTTGTTTGTGCCTTGCAAAGAAACAATCATCCAGGACTTGAAGAGGAGTGAGTCTCTGTCTACAGAAAAAAAGATATAATATATGCTCTTTTAAAGTATACTGGAGAGACACATACTCTCTTAAATAAACTAAACCCAGACCTTCCAATTAGCACAAAGAAGTGCTGAACCCTAGCTCAGATAACATGAACTCCCAGTAGACACGATGGTGAAAGCGGGTAAGCTCAGAGACTTTCAAGTAACTTAGTTCCAGCAGTGTATCATAATCCTGTTCCAAAGGGGGACTTCTAGAACTGAAAAGAGTTAAGTTCCCAGAGTGAGAAAGAACCTGACTTCTCTGGTCCATTATTTCAAAATGAGCACATTGAAGGTAACTGGGAGAGAAGCATTTGGTCCTCTTCACTACCTGGAATTAAAAATTGGACTGACCCCACAAGTCACCAGACCATAGGAGAAATAAAAAAGACAACTTGTTTTCAAAAATTGAAAAAGCTAAATATATTGCCAACTTCTAATTTGCTTTTACAGTGCAAATTAAAGCTATTTATTTTAACTTATGCACCATGGCATTCGAACAATACCTTCTGAAAAACTTTACTGCCTACCTAATTATCCTTCCACTGTCATTGTAGGGATTCTCTTCTCTGCAATACTAAAATACCTTCACATGTACCAATACAAGTACAGAAACAGCCTATTTTCTATACTTGGACATGTTTTCCAGTCCCTCTGTGGATTATGTGCATAAATATATTCCAGTTTTACAAAAGAATACATCTAACCAATTTTAGTTGTTACAGGCATTGAAAATATCCTTATTGTAACATGTGCTTGCATGTAAAGTCACAGCATGAGTCGCAATGCCTGTAAACGAACACACAAAAGACTTGAAGCCTTTTTCTGAAAGACACTGATTCACTTTGCATTGGTATGACATCATTCTTGGTCTGTAGACAGACAGAGTGAGATTGAGCTATGCAACCTGAAGTGACTTAAAAGCAAAAAAAAATAAGGCAAGCCCAATTACAATCATTTATGGATGAAACGATCTTATCTTTTTAAAAGCAGATCCATACAAGTATTCATCCTGAACCATATAGAACTTTAATTTTCTATAATATTTTCTTATCTGAAACAATCATTCCCATCCCTCTTTATTTACACTGAAATGTCGCTTAATTATCCAAACAAACTACCTGCCATTATAAATTCTTTATAATGATTCCTTTTTAATTACTCTACACAGATATAGATGACAGTTGTCTGCTGGGCCATAACTGGAAAAATAACCAAATTCTAATGCAATCTTACACCACCTATTATCTCAGATTTCCTATATGATTCATTACTAAGTTAAAATGGTAATGGCACCATAATGGGTTTATGGTAGAATGTCACTAGGACATGTATTTTGGTAGCATACTGAGGGAAACTTGTAACTAAATATATTCCATAAAAATTGTTTCAAGCAATAGGAGGTTTTCCTACAATTTTAATGTTTATAGCAAATTTGAATTTTTTTTCTTTGAATTGGACATACATGCTCGAAAATAATCTTTGTACGTAATCTTTCAAGTAAAATTCAACCCCTGAAGAATCATTTGTGCAGCATATACTTCCTTTATAAGACAATATCATAACAGCCTAACGTAGTGCTATTAGTTATCACTCATGAAAAATGTCAGTAAGGATAAAAATAGGTTTAAAAAAAATCTTTATGAATCAGAAATGGAAACAACAGCTTTTAGCCTAAGGCACTTTATCTCATGAGAACCAAGCACTCTTTGGAGAGAGTGACATATTTAATAAGTTCTCTGGGGGGAATACAGCAACCTGTAATTAATTTTTTAAGAAAAATGAAATCAGGCAAAAGACTGAGTCCCTTAGGAATACATACCAAACCATTTTAAATTTGTACAACGTTGATAACCCAATACAGCTTTCCTATTTATTTTCAAAACATGACTTGTAAAATATGCATCAAAAAAACTGGCTCTAGTAATGTATTTTTTATGCAGGACCTATGCTGACCCTTCTCTCTAAATTCGTTTCTAGTTATTTTATCTTTTCCCAGAAACAAGCTTTTCAAATGCAACTGCAGAAATATTTATTATACATGCAATAATCATTTCACTGCAAGGTTTTCTTGGTTCCCATGGTCACCTCATGCATCATACAGATACATTTGGCAGGTAAACAGTTCCTTAGCAACATTACCATTACCTTTCATAGTGTTTTTTAGTAGATGCAAATGATAAGGTTTACATTCAATCAGTAATAAACCCCAGTTTCAGTCATGCAGTTGATCTAGAATATCTGGCTCCAATTATCTGATTTATTCAAAGCAGTTAACATTCTTGCCAAATCTCACACTGCAACATCCAACACTCATTTACATTTCAGGGACTTTTTAAAGCAGCATCCTGTCCAAAGCAGGAGAAAAAGGCTTGAGGTTTATAGGGAAGGTGTAGATCCTCAGTAATGAAGTTATGTTCTGCATTGACCATACAAACATAGCCAGTCTTTGAAGTCTTTGTTCAAACTACAAAGTCTGATGAGAAATATATATAAACAAACCTGTCTTTGTTATTTGAGTGTAAGATCTTGTGGAAGATGTCAGACTCGCAGTCTTGGAATGCAAAACTCTCTATGACTTCAGAAACTTCCTCCACACCACTTGCCTCACACCATTTCTGAAGGAGGAAGGGATAGTCAAGGCACCTGGAAATGCACAAGTGCAGGAGGCAACACAGGTTTCTTGTTGCCTCATTATTCACAATGGGCTGCAGGCTCTCCCTTTATTTCTGGCTGGTTTTGTCTCAAATTGACCTCAACAGCAGCAGCTACCTTTCCCCTCCTTATTCCTTTTGCATGAAGCTGGAAATGACTTAAATTATTTTAACCTGCTGACTATGACTTACGCATATCTGTAAGAAAGTCAAGAGAAAAATGCCACCTTAATTTGTTAACCTGTTGATCTGAAAGCCACTGACAGAAAAATGTCTTTAAGAAAGATGTCTTTAAGGCATTTAAGAAAGACATTTTCAATCTACTGCAATATCTTCTTGGAAGGACGCAGTGATAGTCTTAAAAAGTAAAATTTAAAAATTGTGGAAGGCTTTTTTCTCCCAAGAGCGTGGTAGGACAGCCCTGAGAAATCTTCCTTTTCTTCAGTCAAGTTGGGACCATGTAAGTGAACACAGTGTCTCTGAATAATGTCCTTCAACTTAACGATGCTCCAAATGACAAACACTAAGAATAAAATAAATCTTATTTATACCAAAAATGAGTCTAGTCTCCTGCTCCAACTATGCTCCCTATTTATTTTTTAGATGCCAAATAACTGTCTTTCAACTGTTGAAAATTCACACCCAATACAAGTGGTAACATTTTAATAAACAGTCTGAGACAGGAATCCAGAAGAATACCTATCCCAGAAGATGACACAAATGCTTTGCTTGGCTCACAGATATATATATTTAATGGGGCAACAGTCCAATGGTTTTCTAATTATGTTTAAGTCTCCGTTTAGCTAATATGCTTAGTAGGTAACTCTACATGGAAATACCAACACCCTACCAATTACTAGGCCCATACAAACTTCAAAATTAAAGAGACATTGCTACTAAGTATGACCATGCAAACACAATAGTGACAAGAGACTGATTGTGAAATCACGGATACTGGGAAAACACTGAAGAAAGTAATACACAATTTAGAAAGCCAAAGCAAAACAGAAAAAAATCCTGACTCCTTACTATGAAGGTCTAGGAGAAATGCAGATTTTATCTTGTTCCACTTTTAAGTATTAACCAAGCCAATTTTAGTTTCTTTTTTGCCAGCAAGGGTGACTCCAAATCAGGCAAAATTCATCTCTCTTGCTGCATCCTGAGACCTGAGGGGTAAGATTTACCAAGCCAGGTCACTATCTGATTTCTCAGTTTGCATCTCTCCTTTCTCATCAGTTAAATTGGGTCATTACATTTGTAAAAGTTACTTTAACTCAGAATTGGAATTGGGCAGCTGAAGAGCCAACCAGACATAGATTAAAAACCTGCTGCACTCCTGTTGCCAAGGTGCAGGAGATGGGAAAAGAGAGGAGCTTCTGAGTCGTTGCCATGACTGCAAGGAAGAAGGCTTTACTATGTGAAGAGCTAATCATTTCAAAATGCTCCATCCCTTGAGGATCTGCATGAACCTTGAAGAGAAATTTCACACTAAGCATTCAGAAGCTGTCATTCGCACATCTGTATAATTTCCCTGTGCTAATTCCACTTCCTTTTTATTTCTTTTTGTCTCTCTAAATTGGATGAACTGTAGTAGTTGCACTAAACTACAGTGCCTTGATATATGCTCATTAACACTATGTTTCAAAGTAGAATTAATCTGAAATAATGAAAAGCTTGTTCCTCACAAATTAAAATTGCATTCTACAGCCTTCATCTTATCACACAAACGCCAGAATCCTGCTACTGAGAGGCATGAACTAGTGATGGGAATTTCTAAAGCTTCAAATGAAGCCTGCAATTTTTTAGACATAGTTCTCCTTTAAAATACAAGGTGGATTTTGTTTTGCTTTAGTCCATTTTACATAGAGCATTGTCAATCCTGTAATTGTTCATTCTAGCAACTCTTCTAATGTGTGAGTCCGTAAAGAGGTGATTTGGTAAGGTTTAAACTCAGTCCTCCCCATCCCTTTCAATCTGCAATCCTCGTACCTACGCATCCCACAGGAAGGAACTTGCCCTAAAAAAAGCTTGGCTTTATGTAGGACTCAGAAACAATTGTAATGGAGCAGTTTCAGGAATCACCATCTATCAGGTGCAAGCATCTGTTCCCTCCACTAAGCCATGGAAAGAAACTGGACATATAAACGCTTCTAGTGCATTTCAATGCATAATACTGTACTGGAAGGCAAT